CCTCCCGCTCTCCCCGCGGGTCAGCCCGGGCCCCCTCTCCAAGTCTCTGGCGCGGGCCGAGGGGCGGGCCAGCCTTGTCTGGTGGCGTTGGGAAGCAGAGCCCGTGCTGTCCCCAGTTGTCCGGGCTCCCGTCTGGACCCTCGAGGTGCTGTTCATTCCCCTCCGAGGGAGAAGAGCCGCCGCCCCAGGCGCACCGAGACACGGATTGAGGCACACATTCTCAGACAACGAAAAGCTTTTCAAAAATAGCACTTCTTCCAAAGTCAAGAATATTTCCTCCGGCGAACATATTGGTTGGCTGATAAACTGCAATGTGATTTCAACCTGTGTTTTTAGAAATATTTTTTAGGGGCTGGGGATGTAGCTCAGTATCACCGCGCCTGCCTCACAAGCGCAAGGCCCTGAGTTCGATCCCTGGTACCGAAGGAATAAGGAAAAAAAATGTTTAAGGCTTTGACTCCATGTCTCTTCGTTTTCTCCAGCGGAAGCAGAATAATTCGGGTTATTGCGCCGGTACCATTTACACTCTGAGGGTGTAGACGAAGACACCGTTTACCTGGCCACAGAGTTCTTCGCGCTTCTTTCCAGGAGGCGGCTGAACCCTATCCGGTGAACGTTTCCGCTTGCGCCGCCCCTCCTCCTCTTCCTGTCTCTTTCTTCTTTTCGGGAGAAGAGGTCAGGAATGGAACCGAGCCCTAAGTGCTACTTGGCTCCCAAGGCCCAAGCCAGTTACACCTTTTATTAGGGTGTGAGGACTTAGCTTCCCTGGTTCGTTCGTTTGATTTCAGAGAGCTCTACCCATTGGTCAGGCCCTGAGCTGGGCATAGCGGGCTGGACAGATTAATGAGAAATCTGACTTTTTAATAAAATCCAAGCAGGTAGGAAGTTGCCCACCCATGGGGCAGCGCCGCTCAGGGAACAGGAAGTGACAAACAGGCTTCAACTTGTTTTCTAGCTCTGTTAACAGAGTCCGAACCGATGGTGAGAGCCAGACACATTTTAAACTGATTTAAACAGGATTGCGGGTACTGGCGGGTAGTGGAAAAGCCACGTGCAAATTTGCTGTAATTCCTCAGTAGTTGGACTAGGTCTCAATCCCTTTGTTACCTACACAAAAATAATTTACAAAATGTTTTTTGAAGTCTAAAGTAATTAAACCAGAAGATGCCTCCCTGTGTAAGCCATAGAAGGCTGCTTCATTGACGGCTAACCGCTTATTTGTGTTTCTGTTTAGCCTGATGCTAACTGGTTTCTGGAGAAGCTGTCACCCGAGACAAATGGAGGAAAGTGGGCTTCAGGTAAGATGTGGCCCGCTGTGACCCGCGGGCAGAAAGGGCTGGGATCCCAAGCTAAGCCCGCCCATCTCTTCTTTCCCATTATCTATGTCTGTCTCTCCATCCATCCATCCGTCCACCCACTCTAGTGCTGGGCCTTGAACCCAGGGCTTCCTGTAGGTGGGCAAGTGCTCTACTGTTGAGCTACAGTCCTAGCCCAAGAGAGCCTTGTTTGGACCCTGTTGGATTATTTGAGATCCAGCACTTGGATTTACTGAAAGCAAAACCCATAAATGCAAACTGATAGTAGTGATCATGCATAAACATTTAATCGCTTCTTTTGGGGGTGGCAGTACTGGTGATAGAACCCAGGGCTTTTATGCTGTTACATCCTGAAACCTTTCTAAGTTTTTCTTGGGGGGGGGGAATAGGATCTTATTAAACTGCTAAGCTGCCCAGGCTGAATTCAAATGATCTTCCTGCCTCAGCCTCCCAGAATTGGCTGGGATAACAACGTGTGTGACACCAAACCCAGACATTTTGTTTTCCAAGTGGCTTGGATTGAACTACAGAGCAAGAATCCATCCTGCTGTGGCCTTAGGAGATTATTTTAGAGCTGAAAATCCTCAGATGAGGGTTAGAAAAGCAATAATTTAAACACAGAAAAGTCCTAGCTGCAAGAAAAGAACAAAGGCAAAAGGGAAATGAGAAAATGTAGAATTGTACAAAAACCCTTTGACCAATTATTTGACAGTGGGTGTATTTTTCTAGTTACATTTGTTGGTCTGAATTTCTCAGCTACTCTTTTCATGTGTGAGTCCCGGAACTCGTTCTCTGCAGAGATGACTAATGGATCTTTTAGGAATCCGTACTTTAAAGTCAGTTTTCTGTGTGGGTCATGGAAGCGGCTCTACTTCAGATACTTTATCTGAGGGTTGTCAGGGGTAACGTTTCTCAGGAGCGTCTCCGAAATCATTATTCATAATTAAAAAGTGATTTGTAGAAATCACTGGAAAAATGCAGCATGTCCTATTCAAGCATGTTTTCAAGCCACGTGGAATAAATAAAACCACGGTCTCATTGGGAAATACTACCTCCCAGCCTTCCTCTGGCTGTGCCAGGAGGGTCTGATACAGATGTGTTAAGTTTCAGAGCCAAGAGATACATACTTGCTCTTCCCCCAAATATTTTTCTAGTGATATGCAAAGTATAATGTCACTCTTCAAAAGGTCCCTAAATACTAAATAGTACAGTCCAAGAGGTGGATAAGGCTACACAAAAAAGGAAGATTTTTTTAAAAAAATCATCTTAGGACTTAAAGGGGAATAAAGACCAGTAGACATGATAAAAAGACAGAATGGACTCTCTGGACACAGACCCACCTGTTATAGGTCAGTTAAATGACTGGTTTTCTGTACCTTAGTAGTGAAATTGTCAAGACCAGACATCCTGCTGCAAATTTTGTGCTGCAGGAAAAGTCAGTATGTGGTGTTTGCAAGACATTGGCAAAAAAAAGCCTTTCAGCCGGTGGTTATGTATGAACCCTTTCCTGGCAGAGAAGTGGGACGAGGTTCATGAAGGCTGTTTAGCAGCCTGCAGTGGTGAACACATTGGGTTTATGGTCTAACTTGCTTTGGGTGGCTAATATTTATGTAAAGAATCAATATTTAGTGAAGCAATTAAGTTAATCCAAACTGAAGCAGCTGCACTTGCTAAAAAAAAGGCTTCCATTTATCTCCCCAACAGAATGTGTAACCTCTGGCCCGTGCATGATCACTCAGATGTGTGACTTAGGACTCACCAGATCCCTTTAGTCCTCTTCACAGTTGGTGGGGTCACAGGTGGTGCAGTGACTCACCTGGCATGTGAAGGTGGCACAAGCAGGTTGAAGGCCGTGTGTCCTAGGCACGTTGCTCAGTCTGTGTGCACTCCAGGGCTGGGCTCGGAAGCAGTTTGCACTTTATGCAGGAAAAGGAATGCAGTGCTTGGGGTTAAAGAACCCTGGCTCACTCCTACCCACCCAGCTGCTTGTTGCAGAGACACACATTAAGTGGCCTGAGGGTACCAGGCTGCCAGCCAGGCATTTGCACAATAAATGTGAGCTCCTGATATTGAGGACATTCTCAGTCCTGACAACGACTTTGGCTGAGAATCTGGCCTGCTTATGTGAATCCGGTTCACAACCTTTGAACTAGGTATTCTGGTTTTAGTTATGTGTGCTGTGGAAATCATGCCTAATATGAAAGGAAGCCTTTTGCACGAGCATTTATATACTGGTTAAGGGTGCAAGATTTGGTGTCAGATCTGGCTTGACTGCTCTAAAATCCTCAGTTTTGTTATCTGTTCAGTGGGGATAATAGCAATTTCATAAAGAGGTTGTGAGCTTTAATTTAAAACTTTATATATATATGTATATATATATATACACACATACATCTATATAATGAATATAAAAGTGTAAAGCACACTCCCTGCAAGAAAGAAGTATTCAATAAGTGATAGCTACTATTACTATCACAGTGTCATTTATGATATTAAATTTGGGATCTTAATATTTATAATAAACTCTGAAGATGAACCATGCTAAATGGGTAGAAGGGGGATGATTAAATGGTGATTATATATATTCAATATATACATATATATTCAATGAAAACATGCATCTATTAAAAAGGTCTTCAAAGTTCTAATAACACAGTATAGTAAATATTTTCCTGCATAAAATCATTTCCAGACTCCCTTGCAGCTATCCTTCTTAATATGAATTAAGTTGTGGCCAACTGAACATACTTATTAGAGAACTGAGATGGAAGCCACATTTCTGCTGGCTTTGCATAGTAAAAGTGAATTCCTGCTATTGTTTTTGTGGGCAGAGAGAATCGGTGAATACTTCTGTGTGTGTCTGTCCGTCCATCTGTCTGTCTGTGGCAGTGTTAGTAGCAGTCCCAGTGGTGTTGGTCTGAAGTAGTAGCCCTCGTTCACAGGTAAGGGAATGTTGCTGGGTTTGATGGTCATAGTGATAGCTTCCTAGTCCTGTTATTTGTGGCCATGGCAGTACCAGCCCTTGCTTAGCTAGCCAGTTTCCATTACCCACCTGTCAGCGGGCCTGGATGCTACTCCCCTGTCCTTTTGGCACGTTTGTAAGCACTGAGGTCCCTCTGCTAAATCTCCTGCTGCTTCAAATAGCTCAGGAAATTTCTGCCCCTTAAGACTAAATTCTTGTACATTTAAGTTGGAAATTATACCTGCCCTATAAAACTCTGTTGTCTTACTTAATCATAATTGAGTAAAACAACAAAACTATAGAAAAATACCCAAAGGGTCTTCCTCACAATGTGGATTATGAGCATCATTAGTAAGGCCACAGATGATCTTTCCATCTTCTTTTCATTTCCCCATTTAAAAAATTTTTAAATTTTTAATATTTAAATCTTTTTGGAGCAGATGTTAGGGTTGAACTCAGGGCCTCACACCTGCTAAGGACACTTCTCACTGAGCTACACTCCCAAAACCCACTTTTCTTTTTCTAAAATGCACCTCTTTTGGACTTAAAATCATTTACCAAAGAATTCATCATTTAGAGCACAATTCAGTGGTTTTCATATATTCACATATATGCAAAATCATCTCCGTAGAAAATTTTACAGCATCCCATCATCTCACAAAGAAATCCCACTCCTGACGGCTGTTAATCCTTTATATCCTTTTTCCTACCACCAGCCCTTAGCAACCAACCACTAGTCTTCCTTCTTTCCTTCTTTCTTCCTCACAGCAATCCTCCTGCCTCAGCCTCCTGAATGCTGGGATTACAGGCATGCCCCACTACTCCCGGCTTCTTCTTCTTCTTCTTTTTTTTTTTTTTTTTTTTTTTTTTT